TTTTTCATGATCAGCACCTTGTGAAGCTTCCCTGTGCCAACTAGGACTCTACTGCTTAACTCCATTACTAGAGATTAGATCGGCATAATGCTTGCAGTGCAGAGAGTTTGACCCACCTTTACATGCTAAAAAGAAAGAATTCTTGCACGCCACATGATAAATCATCACAAGACCAGTTAATTATAATCTGACAAGAAACCCTGACTTATTTCAAACTAAAGTTGAAGAAGGAAAAGAAACCATCCTGTGGTATGCCTGCTACTGTTTACTTATGAAGCAATAAGAGATGGGAAAAAGCGACACCTCGCTATGAACTTCCAGCACGAGCACAAAGGGAAAAAAATTCAGCATCTGAAAGTTATTAGCACTTTACTGACTAAATGCATCATTATGTAAACTAATTCCCCTCAGTGATCTCCACAAACTGCATTTTTTTCAAACAAAAATCCTTTTTCTTTGATTTGAAGCCACCTTCTAAAAAGAAAGTTTGTTTCCTTTTTGTTATTTAATTGCACAAGCAGTCACAAAAATATATGAGGATGTTCACAGACTTTTACACATTAAAAATCAATGGCATAAAGTGAAAGACTAATAGGTGAATTTGGAGTCTTTTAGTGCTGCACACCCTTCATATCAATGGATGCCATATTGCAAAACACAACTTGGATCCTTTATTTTCTAGGTTAAGACATTGTAATAAAGCTCTGCCTTCTTCGGGGCTATACCTTGTCAGGGTAATCCACTACTGTACATCTCCAGGTGCTCAAAGCTGGTGCACACTTTTAGCGTCTAATATGCTATAGCTCAGAATGAGACTAGACATGATTCATGATGGAAACAAAACGTGCAGCATTCAGCAATAACCTAGCCGCTTCCTTCACATCAGCAGGGCACACATTAAATAAAACCTGAAATTAGTAATTACTAGCAAAGAGCTGCTGGTGAATTACTAACCATACCTTAAAGGTACACTATGCAACCGGTGTTGATTTTTCAGCGAGGCTCCCCCTAGAGGGCGAAAGTAAAAGTGCACTGTCGTAAATATGCACAGCTGTTCTCCTGGTTTCTCCGTCAAGCCAGGCGCGGTTGTTTTGAGCTTAGCAGACAGGCGAACGCAACGAATGACTAAGCATCTGATGCGCGTGACGCGCCACAAACGCGCTGCTGCTCGAGATGGAAAAATTAAATTTTTGCTGCTCGACGTGCCACGTCAACCAATCAGAGAAGCTGATCTGGGAGCTGGCAGCGAGACAGACACATCGCTGATGATCACTCCTCTGGAACAGTTTATTGACGCCTAAA